GCCATCAAAATATCCAAATTTTTAAATGTTACAAAGGTAATAAAGTCTTTTTCTGGATTCCAAGAAATAAAAAAAAAGTAAAATAAAAAAACAACCCAAAAAACAAACAGAAAAAAGTCAGTCAATGCAACCCCAACATCGTTGAATAAATAAACCAACAGCATTTACTTTGATGCTATTGTTGGTAAAGCTAAGCTAAAGGTTTCACCATTTTGTGTCTGTATTTTTATGGAAAAAAAAAAAGTAAAAAAAAAAAAAAAGCAACAATATAAAAAAAATTATGTTCAATTCCTTTCTTTTTCAGTTGGATTCAAAACAACATCTCTTTAAATGAACCTGCAGACTTTTTATTTTATTTGATTGTTGTATTAAAATTGTTTAGACTGGTACGTTTTAGGTTTAGCAGTTTACAGAAAAACCAACAATACAGCTCTGGGAAAAAAAAAAACAAAAAAAGCCCCAACATATTCTATCAGCTAAAGGAGTAAAAAATGGTTCAAATGATAAAAATAAAATAAAAAAGCTCTGTAATTGTCATTAATCAAATTAATTAACCAAATATGAACAACTGAAAAATGAATGAATCGTATCGGTTGCCGTTTTCTTTCACAGTAAAGTAATCAAGCACACAATTTTACAAAGGTACATATTTTTTCAACACAAGTGTGAGATAAGGTTGATTATTTCCAAACAGGGTATGTTCTGTGGATTCAACAAGTGTTTGCCGTTAGAGTCTTGGTTTAATTTTAACAGAGGTGCATGGGGTCATGTTTGCCTGTGTGTGTGTGCTGGTGCAGGTGTGTATGCGGATGTGTTTGCGTGTTGACATCTCCTCAGAGGGCAGGGCCAGGGTTTATCAATCATACACATGAGCCCATGGATCCAGTTACGCTGTGGAGATATGTGTGTTTACTCAGCACTGTGAAGAGCAAAGAAATGCAGAAGGTAGATGGACACGTGCAGGATATCATTCCATGAGAATAAAGCTCCTGAAGTATGTTTTTATGTGATGTAATCATGGTAACAACGTTTTATCTAAGTGCTTTTTTGTGGATTGGTTGGGGTTGGGGGAGCCTGCTGGCTTATTTGGAGGCAAAATCTTTTTCAAGCTTTTGTGTGAGGAAATGATTGGAATTCCAGCTACTTAACATGCCTAATGGGCAGAATAAGAGTCACAAAGAGGAGGGCTGTGTCATTCCTCTCCCTTATTGTATTCTCATTCCAGGCCTTCTTTTTTTGGAATCTTCACCACTTCCAGAGGCACATTTAGAAGGTAGCGGTTTCTCTTTGCAGCAGTTCTACACCCGTGTGGCCTCTCCATAGCTTGGCTTGGCTGGAATCTTATCTTCCGCTGCCCAGACGCCCCCGATTTTATTAATGCCAGGAAGTGGAGCCCAGAGCTTCTCTTTACCAACAAACAAATTAGTCTTTGTATTTGTGTGGCTCCACCCCTCCTCCCTCGCTCCCCGGCTGCTGGAGAAGCTGGAAGAAAATTCTCAATGAAACAAAGGAGACATGCAGCTCGATGGCTCACATGTGGAGCCCAGGGGCATTGGTGTTGATTGGAGAAAGCAAATACTATTTTCTACAGGAGTAATTGTTTCCGTTCTAAATTTGGACGAGTGAAACACTCCAACGGGGGCAAATATAACCCGTCCATCCCCTCCATAAACAATATGACTTCTGCTTTTAAGCAGAGAGGCTTAAAGGATGCAAATCAAACGGTCATTTTCTGCACAATTTTTCTGTGAATTCCGTTTCCATTCTCACGCAGAAAAACATTTCAATGTAATGGTTTTTCTTTCAGGCTGAAAAACTCAGGTATCTTCTTGACTACTGTTTTGAAAAGAATCAGAGAAATGTATTCCAGACTTCTTTGTCTTATTGGACAGACGATGCAGCAGTGTCCCATTGGCTGCATCCTAAGCCTCTATAAGAACATAACAGGTTTAACCAAGGAGCTCATATGTCAAGGTGGGCCTTTGACCAACTAATTACCATTTTTAAAACAACTGTTGCCAGCATGCTCTCTGCAATATTCAGACCTTTGCCTGTCGGACCAACAGCTTATGTTTTTATTCTATATTAACTATAAAGAGGATATGACAGGTCATGTTCTTTGAAATTCCTAATTCTTGAGTTTAGTAGACTTATAAATATCTAAAACAAAATTTATAAGTAACAATATATAAGCATTAAGTGATAAAAACTGTCCTAAATATTATGTGAAATTTGAAAAAAGAACTTCAACTGTAATAGACAAGTGAATATAATGTAATAGACAAGTGAGAGTAATGTAAAAATGTTTAACTTAGTAGTGTATTATTGCTGTTAATGATTAAAAAGAAATGTTGATTTTAAAAAAAAAGATATCAGCTTGAAAAAAGTCAACAAAATGTTTTAAATTCATATAGGGCTGAAACAATCGGATTAATCGTGATTAATTGGTTATTGAAATAATCGTCAACTAATTTAATGATCAATTAATTGTTAACTAGAGTATAGAGACTCTAAAACATGCATTTAGCTGACAGAGCGACCCACTTAGAGCAGTAATTATGCCAAGATTTTTAAAAATATATATATATACATGTTACATATATGATTAAAAAAAACAAAACAATTTGCTCTATCCAGAACTCATCAAGTGGTAAACTTTGAGTTTCACTTGGTTTGATTTTGTAAAAAGTCTTCTTTAAGGAATCTTTGGCTATGGGATTAATAGTCGAAAAAATTATAAACTGATAAATCGATTTGAAAAATAATCATTAGTTGCCAAGGTGATGTATTATCTATCGCTCATTTCAAATACAAAAATGACATTTAGTGTTTCAGTCAAGTTTATTAGATATAAAGGTATCCTCGCAACCCTCACCAAATTCAGTTACAAACAGACTTTCTTTATTTTTTATTAAGCGACTTCTAATTTTGTTTCAGTTTGGTAATGCATGATAATTATAATAGTTCATTCTGATGGAATAGATCAAATACTGCCACCTGTAGAATAGGTCTTAAAACATGGGAACCATTCAATAAAATAACTTTTTAGCTGACTAAATAAAGTACAAGGTTTCCTTTAAAAAGGTTCTATCTTTGTAACAAAGTTAGATAATATTGACATTGAAGCACTTTACACACTCTGTGTTTGCACACTGGGTATTTGCTTACCTAATCTTTCTCTTAACCAGTGCGTCTATATCTTAAGCAAATTTAAGAAAATGAGGGGTAGTTCAAAACATTGGAAACTCCTACAAAGGCAGTCGCTTTCCACCATGGATAAAACTAATTTATATTGCAAATTCCTTAAAACTGGTTTAACAAATCAAGGTTTGATAAACATTAATTGAACATTCTCCTTGCTGAAAAGAAAATGGCTCCTTATTTTTTTTTTTACAGGATTTTTATTTGTTGTAATGTACTCTCAGCTTTTCTCTTAATGAGATTAAAAGCAAAGTATTGTGTGTTTGGCAAACACATGTGAATTGTGGGTATGCTTGATAATTTGCATTATGTCACTACATAAGGTTGATAAATCAAACAATTTTTTTGGATCCTCTGCCTTTGAAAAGTTTTTTGTAGCGCTTTTCTTTTTTAATATGGGACTTCTGGTGTGATGGTTGTCTCTGCTTGTCTGTCAAAACTCATTCACACATCACTGCATGCTTGGAAGGTAGCATCAGAAGCGATTGTGTCACAACCTGGCACCTCTGAGCACAACCAAAACTAGAATTTTCCCGGCAGATCGAGACAAGTTTAGGTTTTATGCATTAAGATTGTTTTTGTTTAATTGTGAAAATTACAGATTAGCTTTCGTTGTAGCGGAGCATAGTAACGTTTACTGGCAGAGCTGATCGTCATCAATAATAAAAGGTTTATGTGGATGTTGCCAGCAGGCGCTCTGAGCACTGTGGTTTCAAGTGTTATTTTCCAAGCTCAGAGAATTGGATCTCGTACATGCTGAGGTTATCTGAGGTGACAGACAAAATATTTTACTTTTAAAGGCAGGCGTTATGTCTGACCATATACAAAAATGTGTTTTGAGCATTTTAACTTGTGCATCTTAACATAATAGACTGTATCTTGTTACTGCAGGAAATAGGCTCTAGAGTGGGTACTGACCAAAAGGCTCACGTCTTTTAGAGGGTTTAAAAATGTGGAGCCCTGGTGCAACATACAGGCTTCCAGATCATGACAAAACATTATGCCAGGCTTGACATCTTGACTGTAAGGATTAGATGCTTTAAGGAGATTATTGTAGTGTTTTTGTTTTGTTTTGTTTTTTGGTCGAAGAATACAATGCATTGAAACTACTACCTTCATTAAGGTAGCCTCGCAAAGTTAAGCAATAAGGGTGGGTTTACACACAAAGAAGAGTATTAATATGAGTATTAGAGTATTAATAAAAGAGTATCAGAATCAGAATCAGAAATACTTTAATAATCCCAGAGGGAAATTACTTTTGTTACACGCTCCAGTTACAGTTTTACATGATATATACACACATCCAACTATACATTATAATAAAGATAAAAAAAAGAATAAAAAGAGATAAAATATATACACATATAGCTCTTCTGTATATATATCTGTACGTATATCTATGCATATGTAAAAACTAAATCCAAATAAAGTGATGAGTAGTAATATTTCCTGTTTTCCATCCATCCATCCATCCATTGTTCAGGGAATTGTTCAAAAGAATTTGGAGCTCAGGATTTTTGTGTGTCAAGTAAAAATGATGTATAGGGGTCTTATTTGTTTGTTTTTTTTAATGTCAAACACACTTTTGCTGTCACTTTATCAATTCTCACTTAAAAATGTGTTTTGCTTTCCTTTCTTTCAGTCTGTAGCCCAAGTATTGACATCAGGAATGACATAAGTGAATTCAAGCGTCTTGAGAACTGCACGGTGTTGGAAGGTTACCTACAAATTGTTTTAATCAATGAAAAGACGAGCAACATCAACCAGGAGGTCTTCCGCACCCTCAGCTTCCCAAAGCTGACCGTCATCACTGACTATCTGCTGCTGTTTCGGGTCCCTGGCTTGGATAGCCTCAGCAAACTCTTTCCCAACCTAAGTGTCATCCGGGGCCTTAACCTGTTCTTTGGAAATGCTTTGGTGATCTACGAGATGAACAACTTAAAGGACATCGGTCTGTACAACTTGATGAACATCACCCGTGGAACAGTGCAGATTGAAAAGAACGGAGAGCTATGTTACCTGGACTCGGTGGACTGGTCTCTGATCATGGACAGCTACGTAAATAATATTATAACTCGGAACAAGGAGCCAAAGGAGTGTGACGACATCTGCCCGGGCATCATGGAGGATAACCCTATCTGTCGCACAACGTCGTTCAAAGACAACAAGGACTACCGCTGCTGGACGTCTAACCATTGTCAGAAAGGTTAGTGTTTTTTTTTCTTTTTTTATTCCACCAAGGCAAATGGTTATTGTTACCTAACTTTGTGAAACACAACAAGGATTCTCCGTTATTTCCGTGATCAAGTAAAGTTGACTTTAGTCTTTGAATTTGACAGCCATACAAAAATAAAAAAAATGCATAAAACTTAAATGTACATAAAGATTTTACTTTGTTTTGGTTAGGCAGTAAAGGCTGTCAGTGAGCCAGTGAAAACATTTCCTCCCTCTTCATCACACAGATGTTTTCTTTAGATCTGGCTGTTTAGGAAGGAGAGGATGGAGACAGCACACACACCAGGTATTAGCGAGAGAGACATACCCAGTTGAGGTTAGAGTAGCTCTGCCAAGAAATGAGGTAGTCTGGCAGTCTGGAGCTTGTCAGCTAAATATTTGCCAGAGGGACATTAAGAAATCTGTGAAAAAGGGGTTTATTGAAGAATCCGAGGGAGGGTTGTTCTCATTCAACTTTAGCCCAGTGGTAGGGTCAAGCATTTTCTGTTGGAAGTATTTTGGAGGTTCATATATCAGCAAATAAAGCAAAGAAAATACGACATTGATAGGAAGTACTCCACTTTAATAACATGTTTACGAGAAATATTGAGGAAAACTAAGTTGTATGCCTTCAGTTCAAGAAGGTTTTTCATTCAAATGAAAAGTACATAAAAGCTACCTGTTGCTTTGTCTATCTGGCAGTGGTATGCTAGATTTGATGTTACGTACCACATGTCAAGTCAAAAGGATATTTTTCAACATTTGGAAATAAAATGCTGGGAAAATATTGATTTCAAATTATATTCATTGCTGTTTTTACCTCCTATGGTCACTTAAAAAGGCATTAGTATGCTTCACACTGTTCCAGATTACTTACAGGTATAGTGTTAACAATTGTCACACACATATGTATAATACCCCCTTTACTCTGATTCTCTGACATAAAATCATGTGCAACCAATTAGGGCTGTGCGATAAATTGAATTAATTTGATTAATCCACATTTAATCCGCTAATTCATAAAATCGTGGAAGTCTCATCTTTTGCATTTTTTACTTGTACGTTTTCTTCTGCTGCTTCTTTCGTCCTTCTGCCTGAATTGTGCACTGTTTACTCGCACCTTGGCTGCAGCTCAATCTGAGGAGTTTGAAAAGGGACTTGTGTTTCATCAATTATTTAGAAGTGGTTTGGCTTTGACAAAGCTGATATAGAGCAGACTACAGTAGTGTGCAAAGTTTGTCGAAATGCTTTCAAAACCAAGACTAGCAGCACAACTAACTTGTTTCAGCATCTCCGGCAAAGGCACGCAACAGAGTGGGAGAAGCACTCACAGCTTTGGGAGTGCAGCGTCGGGAGCACGGGCAAAGACAACCGAACAACAGATGACCGACCCCGTAGCTGTTCATATAGGGATGAACATGGTGCCCATTTACACCGTAGAGAAGCCTTGCTTTCTTCACATGCTAAAAGGGTGTGATCCAGAATATGACCCGCCGAGTTGAAACACTACAAGCGAGCTGTGAAAAGTTAAACTCTGTTTTGTTATTTTCAAGTATTACGGACCTATGGTCCGGTTGATCTCTACAGCCGAACATAAGTTTAACTCTGTATTATTTCGACATGAACTAGGCTCTCAACAGCTCTCAAATTAAGCACTTTTTTCTTGCACTTGTACTGAATATACATAGGTGTAAATTTATTGTTGAGTGAGCATTGGTGTTTCTTGCACAAGATTTATGTTAATAATATAAATTTTTTTTTTACAATAAATGTATTGTTGGCTAAATGTTTGTTACTTTGCACATTATATTTTTTGATAAAGTAAACCTATTTTAATATAAATGCATGCAGTTTTTAATACTTCAATTAAAATTGATTGAAATCGCAATCGTCCAAGATGACAATAAAAATAAAATAATTAGATCTTATATTTTGGCCATTACACCCAGCCCTACAAGGAATTAAATTGAAAACAAATCACCTAAGTAGTAAATGAAGTTGTGTATGCTGTTATCTTGGTATAAGTCAAACTCTTCTGGGTTTGGGTTAGGGCTCCACGATTTCTTACCATTAATGAACAAATAGCATGATGGGGACCAAAAATAAATTCCAGATAGAATTTTAAACATCTCACACAGCAAGTTTATCCAAGTCCATCATCTGAGCCGTATCTACTGTAGAAGACAGACTCTACATGACACTGATCATAGAAGCCGACAAGTAGCCTGGAACTTTGAGGGAGCTGCAGTGAAAAGAGTAAAAAGAATGATACAACATTGAACATAAGTCAATACATCAATGTTTGTGATTGTTTCATGAGAAAGTGTGTCAAAGCCTTTTGGAAGGAAATAATTGTGGGAATATGTGGCCTCGGTCACCCCTATTTTTCTTTTTATATTGTCCTTTAGACCTATTTGCCGCCCCCATTGTCAGTTTAGATTAACAAACAACCTTGGGTTCTCTGTGGAAGCCTACAGAACAAATTGTGGAAATAAAACCTGCTTCTTTCCCCTTGTGACCGTATCTTTCTCTGCAGCGCTTATTGTTTGTCTGTGTTTATTCTTGGACTGGTTGTCCTTTTGGGAGCTTCCTGCAATGTTATCAATCCCTTATCTGTGCACATGTGGCCATGTAAAATAAGAAAAATGTTAAAATCACTTTGTTACGAGTGGAAAAAGGGTTTAAACAGAATGCCACATTGTGAACAATGCAAGCACACAGTTTGGTTCTTCTCATAGTTGATGTTTATGTTGTATTTCTGCTCAGTTGTTCTCACACAGACCTGAGAGCAGCAGTATTGTTTAGAGCAGATTGCCTCTCTCTCTAAGGACCGGTCCGAGGTCGGGGTAAATGGATTCATCTGGAGCGCCTCGAGGTATCAAGAAAGCAGATAAAGGTTTTCCAAAAGCTACACTTAAAAACAAAAAGTTGCTAAGCAGTCCTGGGGTAGGGCATTTTTCAAGCTTTGTTTTGGCAGAATAAAGCTAAAACAGACCCGGGTTGTTTCTTTAATGTATCAGGATTTGTTTTGTTGGTTTATTTATCAGGGTATGATGTGTTTTCTTCCATCCGTCCTGCTACAGAGCCCTCCTCTCCCCTTCTCTACCCGTTTGCATAATTGCCTTGTTTTTCTCCAGTACAGATGTTCCTTCAAGGGCATGCAGTGGTTTCCTAGTCAATACAGCCCCGTCTTCTCTTTAATTACACTACATGAGAAGGAGCACTGTCTGCTAGCTGACTACTGTAGCCTCTGGGTCTTCAAGCTGTGTGGAAGCTTAAAGACGTTCATCTTTTTCTTTTTTGTTTGATCTTTAGACGTTATTGGTTTGTTGTGTGTTAGATCAAGGGATGTTTGTGGTAACTTTATGCTGAGTGGAATATTCCAGTTTAGTGTTCGATAAAGGTGAGTAGGAGCCAGCTGTGTTCCTAAATGGAGGCTCGCTTCTTGGAGGGAAGCAGTGATGCAGAGAGACGCCTGTTCTAAGAAGGTCTGCATAGAAGGAAGGGCAGACATAACAGCTATTTGGTATTGAAAGGCAAGCCCATCTGTTAAACAATATTTCAATGCTCTTGTTTTCCTCATCTAAAAACATCCCCTCCTTTGGGCTTTAATGCCTTTGCTTCTCCCCACTATGTCTGTTCATTTTATTCCTCTCCACTTCACTTAGCCTCATCTCTGATTGTTCATGTCAGAGCTTCTGCTGGTGTTTCCTGCTCTATTGTCACCTCACTGTTTTCTCCAGGGCTTATCAGGGGCTGTTAACAACCTCGGCTGTCAGATATCTCCACTACGCACTTGTCAGAGATGTTCTCCCACTCACTCTTGTAAAATGGGGCCCTGGATTTTTTGACTTAAAAGACATCTGGCATGGGCCCAGCTAAAACCTGACTAAAAAGAAAGACCTGTATCAGTTATTCAGCTGAGGAGACAGTGCCCTGGTGCATACAAGGGCCGCTCCAGTTCTGGTTGGTCTTAACAGGTTCACAGAAAGGCACACATTCCCCGACTCCCAAGTTCTCACTGAGCTCACATTTCTTCTTCATGCAATCAAATATTAACTTCTGCCGTGCTGCTTTGGGCCACATTCGTTTGAACCTCTGTGATTCGAAAGAATACCGTTAAGCAATGTTTGTTCTCTTCCAACGATAAAGATGTTTGCATTCTGACAGAGTTCCAGACAACTGAAGCAGACATGTCTTGTTTTTTTCCTGCTCTCCTGATTTAACTTTATCAAGTGGAGGGGGATTGTTGAACTTGGCCTCATAAAAATGAATGTTGGAATGAGGAAAATGTTGGACAGAATTTGCAGCTGTTGAAAAAAAACAAACTGTAATGGCTTGCTATGTTTTCAAGTTACAGACACAAAGCTAAAGTTTTTTTTTGTGTACTAATAAAACAATAATTTTAATTAGGAGTAATCAAAAGAAAAATGCTATACAATAAACATACAAATCCCTTTTAGAAAAATTAATTCTGAGTTTCTCTTTTTCTCATATAACAAAGTGATAAATTGGTAGTGAAAGGTGCTCGAGAAAAGATTATTTTAAAAACTTTTTTTACTGAATTTTATTTATGTGAAGCTAAACTACGTTTTGAAATGTCCTCTTCACTGTCGCCTTTGGCTTAATTATTGCTCTGAGTGGGTGATTGTTTAAGCAAATGTTTATGATTTGATTCGATTACCATATTAACTGTTATTTCTGTAACTGTCTTATCACGGTTACATAGATTAATTGTTTATTCTCTCATATTTACCAGAAGAGAACATATGTTTTATACAATGTCCCTTCCCCTTTAAGTTTATTGTGCAGAAATTCCAGTTAGCTTCCTTATTGCATGTTGTGAGGGGATAAAGAGGGGAAATGCCCAACACAGGCGTTGAGGTGAAAACTATCTATGGCAAGTCAACCAGAGCCTGCTTGTCCCATCTGTAAATATAAGTAAAAAAAAAAAGGAAAAAAAAGATCAATATGTGGTCTGTTCTTTTTTTT